GGGGTTTGCATTCAGACATTCCAGCCCGTTTTAAAATATCATTCATATACCGTTGTTGAGATAAAATAATTCCATTGTCACTCTTAACTGTTTCAATACCCAGAAAAAAATTTGGTTCACCAAGATCTCTGATTTTGAATGTAGCAGACAGTTTGGACAAGAGCTGAGACATAATACCTTGATCACTTCCCATTACAAGAATGTCATCCACGTACACCAATAGATAAACCAAATCAGAGTCTTTAGAGTAATAGAACAGAGAGACATCTGTCTTGGATGCTTGAAAGCCAACCGATAGTAAGAACGTATGTAGTCGATTAAACCAAGCTCTGGGAGCTTGTTTTAACCCATACAGAGATCTTTTTAACAAACAAACATGATTCGGGAAGTTAGCATCAATATAACCAGGGGGTTGCTTCATATAAACTGTTTCAGCCAGATTACCATTCAGAAAAGCATTATGAACATCTAGCTGTTTGATAGACCACCCAGATGATAAAGCTAGAGATAGAAGGAGTCTTACAGTCGTAGGCTTTACCACTGGACTAAAAGTGTCGAAGAAGTCCTGACCTGGAACCTGATTAAAACCTTTCGCAGCCAGCCTGGCTTTATGCCTTTCAATAGCACCATCAGCCTTTCTCTTCGTACGAAACACCCATTTACAGCCAATAATATTCATACCTGCAGTGGGTGGAACTAGAGACCATGTGTGGTTATGCAGGAGAGCATTGAATTCTTGGTCCATGGCTTCACGCCACTCAGGATATTTGACAGCTTGAGAGTAACATGTGGGTTCCGTGGGATGCACTTGAGCTGCTAGAGCAAAAAGAGGAGCATCTGCGTTGCTGCGAGTGGCCATAGAGTGAGTACGGACATTGGGCCTGATGGACCGCCCACGTGGACGGCCTCGCCGGCGAGCAACAGGCTCCACAGGATCACCCGACGAGGCAGCCTGTCCAGGAACCACGGCTGGTTCGAATGAAGCAGGTAGCGGCGGTTCTGGCAGCTCATCATTGGACACGGCAGGAATAGGTGTGCTGTGACTGAGAACAGATTCCGCCCAAGGTCCAGAAAACGGAGTAGATAGATCCTGCAAAGAAGTTTTAGTAGCAAAGGGGAAAACTTCTTCATCAAATCTGACATGCCTGCATGTGTAAATCTTATTAGTATGTAAGTCCATGCATCTGTACCCCCTAAAGGACTCAGGATAACCTAGGAAGACACATGGAGAAGACCTGTATGACATCTTATGACGATTATATGGTCGAAGATGAGGGTAGCATAAACACCCAAAGACACGAAGAAAAAGATAGGAAGGAGGGGATTTATGTAACAGGAGATGAGGACTGGAGTTATTTAATACAGAAGATGGCATTCTGTTAATTAAATAGACAGCAGTCTCAAAGGCAAAATCCCAAAATTTCAAAGGAACAGAGGCATGAGCTAGAAGAGTCAGACCAGTTTCAACAATGTGACGATGTTTTCGTTCAACACGACCATTCTGTTCATGTGTATAGGCACAGGATTGTCTATGTTGAATTCCTAATTGAACAAACAAAGAATGCAACTTTTTGTACTCAGCACCTAAATCAGACTGAATGGCCTTTATTTTGCAATTAAAGGACCGTTCAACAAGAGTACGAAATTTATCAAAGATGACATAAAGATCAGACTTTAATTTCATAGGAAAGAACCATGTATAACGGGAATAGTCATCCACAAAGATCACAAAATAATGGAAGCCAGAAGTAGATAAAGTGGGCGCAGGACCCCAAATGTCTGTGTAAATAAGATCTAGGACTTGAGAACTAGAGGAAGCAACACGGGGGAGGGGAAAACGGGCAGATTTGCCTAATTGACACGCATTGCATAAAGAATTATGACAACGAATATTATCACGAGACCCACTAACCAAACAAGAACGAAGTATATGGCTAAGAACACGGTTATGAGGATGACCTAGACGATTGTGCCAAGTGGAAGCCGAGGCACGAGCGGAAATAAACGCTGACGGAGACGAATTAGGTAATGAAAGTGTGTATAGTCCCCCCGAACTATTGCCCCGAAGAAGTATTTCCTTGGTATTGATATCTTTTACAACAAAAAATGAGGGGTGAAACTCAAAAAAGACTTTATTATCGGATGCAAACTTCTGAACAGATAATAAAGAATTAGACAAACGCGGAACGTGAAGTATATCAGACAATGTAAATGATCTAGAAGGGGTATTAAAAGAGGCATGGCCAACATGACTAATAGATAAACCCATACCGTCACCGACACGTAAAGTGTCATTACCAGTGTACTTCTCCGATGTAGAAAGAGCAGCGACGTTCGGAGTTGCATGATTTGTGGCTCCAGTGTCCGGAACCCAAGTATGAGAATTTAACGAGGTTTTAGCAACTAAACCATTCTGAAACACCAAATTAGCCTGAGAACCCGGAGCCCCTGAATATCGCCGAAAACAGTTGACTCCCGTGTGACCGAAACTTTTGCAGATTTGACACGGATCATTATAGCGCCAAAAACAATTGGCTCCCGTGTGACCAAAACGTTTACAAATTTGACACGGATCATCATAGCGCCAAAAACAATTGGCTCCCGTGTGACCAAAACGTTTACAAATTTGACACGGATCATCATAGCGCCAAAAACAATTGACTCCTGTGTGGCCGAAACCTTTACAGATTTGACACGGATCATCGAAGCCACGTTGTTGACCTCCACGGTAATTAAGGTTGCCATCGCAGCGCTGCATCTTCTTAATTTTATGAATCACAAAACCCTAGCTAACTGATACCAGATGAGAACTGATTGTATTATATTTTCTGAACTTGATTACAATGAGATCAGATGATGTGAATATATAGAATAAAGAGTCACAGTGTGACAATGATAAGAAGTAGAGAGTCACAGTGTGACAAGGATAAGAAGTTCTAAACAGACTCATATACATAGAGTCCTAATATTCATATACACACCTTTCTACTAACTTGACCCAAAAAATAACGACGACTATGAAAATCAAACATGTTTTGATATTAATCCATGTTAAAAAAGCATTTTTTTTTATGGTTGCATTTACTTCATTTTTAACATATTTGCTACATGTTTTCATTTCTTATATTCACATCAATCGATTTATGTAATTAGCTGTCACTTTTTAGTAGTTATTAAGATGTGTTTATATCAATTGAAGGAGATCAGATAATATATATGACTGTTATTAACATTATATATTAACAAAACAAAACATAATAATTTTGAATTAAAAATAAATATTAATAAAGTTACATCCTTCAAAATTTGAACTTTAAATATGGGAGATCATGAGATCGAACCTCAATCGAGGCGTTGTTGACTCTTTGTGCTTCATTAGGGTGAGAAAGTATGTTTGAACATATACTACTGTTGGTTTTAGGGTTTTTGGGCTCATGGAAGTCCAACACAACCTTAGTTGGTGGATTATATTCACCTTTCAAAAATAGAAGTAGAAGAATGATAGTCTGCAAGACATATACTTGGCCTGTTCTCACCGTCCCCCTTTACATTCTTGAGGAGCCCCTTTTATAGTGGGTCACCTTGGAATCATTTAAAAGTTTACATTTAAGGCGATAAATTGACTCATTAACTCTAAGGGCCGTTGGGCTGCCGTTACTGAGCCTCCCAACGGCTTGTTGACCGGACCTCTTAATAGGCATTTTAAATGCTAACGGCTACCCTCGGGCTGACCTCGTACTCGTGTCGACCTCTCGCTCGCGCTGACCCCTCGGTTTGGCCCATATCTCTTTTGTGCCTCTCTTCTTCTGGGCTTGATCCCTTCTCTTCTTGGGCCCTAAGCCCACGGGGTTCACACCCCATCAACTACAATGTAATAGAGTCAGTAGCTTTCAAAAAGAGGAAAAAAAAACACATTGTTCAAAATTTGACATGGAAGAATATAAATTTTACCTTTAAATCTTATGTAATAGCCCACAAACCACAAATCAAATAATGTTAACAATAATTGAATTTGTTACCTTTAGTTAAGAGAATCATGTTCCACCTTTTTTTTTTGAATGCTACTAGCTTTATTACATTGTAGTATCTGTTCATATACTTTCTCAACCTACTGAAACACAAAGAGCTAATAACACCTCCATTGAGGCTCGAACTCACAACCTTCCAAATGGAAGTCCAACCCGGGTACCATTGGACCACATAGTCCTGGTGAATCATGTTCCACCTAATTGATTATCTTTTTTTTTTTTTAAATAAAAATTAAATTAGAATGTTAGGCAGACTCATTGTTCTGAATATATATATATATATATATATATATATATATATATATATATATATATATATATATATATATGGAATTATTATTATTATTATTATTAAGACAAACATCTAATTACCAAAAAAAAAAAAAAATCAACAAATTTAGCATTAGATCGATCAATATAAAATATCTACAAATTTCATTGTTTTACTAACATAAATTTATTGAAATGAAGTATGAAAACAATAGGTAAATGACACAATTGAATTTTTACTTAGAAATTGGCTTGAAAGGGACATACATACACCAGGATTTGATAATGTATTACCTAAATTACAAATCTTTATTGACATTCTTTGATCAATGATATATAAGAATTCTTTATTGATTCTTTATGTTTCAGTAGGTTAAGAAAGTATATGAGCAGATATTACATTGTAATAGAGCCAGTAACATTCAAAAAAAATATATAAGATCATAATTAAACAAAAAAAAAAAAAGAAATAAGTTCACAATTTGTTACATTAAATTACAAATATGTTTGTTATTCTTCCATCTATGATACGAATTTTGACACTACAAACCACCACCACCACTGCTGCATCATATCAATGGAGTGTTGGGATAAGCTTAAGCAATTTCCTCTTGCCCCTCAGCTCATTCAACAAACCTCACCTCACTATATATAGGGATGCTTCTTCAATCCCCTCCCTCATCATCATCATCATAATCATTATCAATTTATCATCGATCATCAATAGCTAGAACACTATGAAGAAGATATTATTGTTTGTGTTTTTGTGTGTGTCTGCCGTCTTGTTTTGCTCTTGTGTCGGAGAATCTGAGCCAGAGCCTCCTACGCAAAAACAAAATGGTAAAGTTTACATTGTCTATATGGGCGCTGCAGCCCCATCCAGCAATGGCGCCATGCGAAAGGATCAAGCTCAGCTCATCACCTCATTGACGAAAAGGTCAATCTAAAAACTATATATATTGTCATCATTAATTATGTTCACTGATATTAATAACATATGTGTATCTATCTGCAGGAATAGGAAGGCATTGGTGTACACCTACACAAATGGGTTCTGTGGGTTTTCAGCCCGGTTGACGGCGGAAGAAGCTACATCAATCGCTCAACACCCCGGAGTGGTGTCTGTGTTTCCTGATCCCATTTTGCACCTCCAAACAACCCGCTCCTGGGATTTCCTGGATTCCATTTCTTATAAAAAAATCTCTCCCACTAGCCTCCCCAGATCAACATCAACTAGAGCCGCTCAACCATTGTCTTCCAGTGAAACAGATACCATAATAGGCATCTTGGACACAGGTTTTTCATTTCATTTCATTTCTTCGTCCAATAAATTTTTTTTTATCACAATATACAATACTAAATAACAATGTTGTTGATGTATAAACTATATATGTTAGGAATATGGCCTGAATCTCATAGCTTCAATGACGACGGCATGGGACCCATCCCGGCCCGATGGAAGGGAGAGTGCCAGAAAAGCGATGATTTCAACTCTTCCAACTGCAACAGGTAATTAATACGGAGTAATTTAAAGCCCTCCGAATGGTTTCACTCATCTTGTCCCATAAAAAATAAACTTTTGTTGTGACCCTTATCAGGAAAATAATTGGGGCACGATATTACCCGGATGCTTTGGACGTCCCGTCATGCAGAGACAATGTAGGACATGGAAGCCACGTGGCATCCACAGCAGCAGGATCGCTAGTTGATGACGCGTCATACTACGGTCATGCCAGAGGAACAGCCAGGGGTGGGTCCCCTACTTCGCGAATTGCCATGTACCGAGTTTGCGACTTTTTCGGATGCGAAGGATCTGCGATCTTGAAAGCCTTCGACGATGGTATTAAGGATGGCGTGGACGTGTTGTCGCTGTCGTTGGGCGGACGTAGTGGACTCAAACCCGATTTCTCCACCGATGTTATCGCCATCGGCGCGTTCCACGCCGTCGAGAGAGGCATCGTCGTTGTCTGCGCCGCCGGAAACTCTGGACCAGACCGCGGTAGTGTCGTCAACGAAGCTCCCTGGATTTTCACCGTCGCCGCCTCCACCATCGACCGCGATTTCCAGTCACAAATCGTCTTGGGTGACACCACAGTCATCAAGGTACTCATACTCAACACTTACAACAACCTTAAACCAAATCATACATGTCGTATCCTAATTGCCTTAGCTTGTCTGTGTGGAGTACAGGGCGGGGGAATTTATATCGGAAAACTGAAGAAAAGGCCAGTGCATCCATTGGCGACTGGGGCATTGGTTAAATCGGAGAATGCTACTGAAAGCGAAGCCAGGTAATATAATAGTGAAATTGGTAGTACTATATATATGTATATACATTACTGACAGATTAAGGTTGGTTAATTTCAGGGATTGTTTACCACTCTCATTAGACCCTAAGAAGGCAAAGGGGAAGATTATTCTGTGTGAAACCCAGGACCGGACTTCTTACATTAGCGATAGGATAAATGAGGTGAAAAATGCGGGCGGGGTTGCAATAATACTCATATTGGATAACCCCTTTCCTTTCGCGTTGAAATTTGGTGGTTTTCCCGGATCCATAATCCTACAAAAGGAAGCCAATCAAATTTTTAGCTACATCAGCTCAACCAAGTAAAACATGCTATCATTTAACATTTAACATTAAATTCTTTGTATTTGGATACTAGCTTGATCAATATTTAATTTAATTTTTGTGAATTAAGGAATCCCATGGCGACCATCCTCCCAACAGTGACAGTGACAGGAAGTAAACCCGCACCCACAGTAGCAATCTTCTCATCAAGAGGACCATCGCTTTCAAGCGTGAATCTCCTCAAGGTATGTTACTTAGTTTCCTTTGGTACGGTGCCAATAGACAAACAAATTAAACAACATAGAATGCATATATGATGTTTTTTTTTTTTTTGTTGAATTGGGGAATGGCAGCCGGACATTTGTGCCCCTGGGGTTGACATTCTGGCAACGTGGCCTGACATTGATGGGGAAGAAATTATTCCTGTCAAGAGTCATCCAGGTTACAACCTAGAATCTGGGACTTCCATGGCTTGTCCGCATATCTCAGGTATTGTTGCTACAGTGAAAGCACAAAACCCAAATTTCAGTGTTTCTGCGATCAGATCAGCTGTTATGACCACAGGTAACGTAACAACCACAATGTACTATATTTGCTTTTTATTTTAATTTGTCTGTGTATATATAACACCTTGTATGTGTCCCCACTTCCGATCCAGCCACCCAGACAAACAATTTGAATGCGCCTATAACGACAACAGATGGAGAAATTGCCACGCCGTATGACATTGGCGCCGGAGAATTAAACCCCACAGCAGCATTAAATCCAGGGCTGGTGTACGAAACTGAGATTGCAGATTACCTGCACTTCCTTTGTGCAACAGGCTACAATACATCTCAAATTCGGCTCATCTCCTCAACTGTCCCCAAGGGCTTCAAGTGCCCCAAGAAGTTGACACAAGACGTGATCTCCGCCATGAACTACCCATCCATTGCAGTCTCCAATCTAAAGAAAGGTGAGGCTAAGACAATTACAAGAACTGTAAGCAATGTCGGGCCCGAAGAATCAGTGTACACTGCAACAATTGAAGCAATGGCAGACTTTAAGGTCACTGTAACACCAAATAAGTTGGTGTTTACAAAACAAGAAAAGAAGCTAAGCTATACTGTGAACTTTACAGCTTCATCATCCCTTGAGACAGACACATTTGGGTCAATTACATGGACTAGTGGAAAGTATAGGGTTAGAAGTCCAATCGTTATAAGTGTTGAGTAAGGCCGGGAGTACATGTATCAGTTAAGGGACATATTATTGCTAAACATGTGAACTGATTCCTAAAGTTCAAATTAAAAGACATGTTACATATCAATGAATAGATCTTTGTTGAAAGATGTATGGATCATAATATGTCAAAATACATGAATAATCAATAAGAAAAAACTATCCAAGTTTCTTTATTTTGTAACCTTGAGTATTAAAAAGGAAAAGAAGCACACATGAAACAATTATGAGCAAGGGACACTTATATACTATAAAATAGAATAGCTCATAAGTGAATTAATGAATTCCATATAAATCATCCGAGATAGAGATGACAATATGAACTAGATCCATATGTTATTGTGCTTGAAATAACATTGTATGATCTTATATAAGGGGATGTACCCGATCACCTTCCATGTAATGTAGTGGGCTGGGTTGAGCTGACACATGCCCATATTATTAGCTTTTATGTCATTTTTTAAAATTTTATTATTTTGTATTAAGGAGTATTACTTTTTAGTTAGAAAGCTGGCACATGCCCATATTAGTAGCTTTTATCTCATTTTTAAAATTTTTATTATTTTGTATTATTACTTTTTATTTACACTTGTAACATAAAAATGTATTTGTTTCTTTTAATTTATATAGAAGATAAATAACATGATTAGCAGCAAATTGTCAAACACCAACATTATTCAATTAACAATTAACAATCAACAATAAACTATTACATTATTGCCTCAGATCAATGGTCCTCTGCTAGATGATTCAACTAACACAAACTTAATTATTGAAAAGATTTAATTGTAGGTCTAATACAAAACGATTTAATGCATATAGTCAACTGTGTGAGAAATAGCTTAAAATTGCAAATTCAAATATGATCCAAACTATAAGGTATGTCATCACTTGTAAATTAAATCCTCACAAAAACTAAATTGCATTTTTTAAATCATAATATTATGCAATTAACTTGATTATCTCAAATTAAAATACGGAGTATGAAGGCCCAATACAAAATGATGGAAGGAGATTTGAAGAAACTGGATTGGGCCCAAATTAGAAAATTGAGCCCAGATTAAAATATAAACCAGCAAAAAAGAACTGGGTCTGGACCATATTTCAGACCCGGCCCATCTTTACCCCTTATCACTTATCAGCTTCATCTCCATTCAACTAAACAATTACGGAGTAAAACCTATCTACTGCGGCACCGAGTGAGACGCCGCCGGATCCGACGGAGGAGGAGCACCATCGGTTATACGTCGCGGTCGCTCATTTCGTCGTTAACGGTAGGTGTAGGGTTGCGTGGGGTGTTGGGATAAGATACGCAATTTCCATCTTTGCGTGGATACCCGGCCCCTTGAATTGGCCTCTGCTATCCTAGCTCATTCAACAAACCTCAGCTCATTACTATATATAGGGACACTTCTTTGCTTCAATTCAAGCCCCTCACTCATCATCATCATCATTATTATTATCAATTTATCATCATCAGCAGCAATACCAAGTTGTGTACATGAAAATTATTAAAGAAATGAAAAACATGTATGTGTCTAGGAGCCCTATTATGGTATCTGCGTCATTGGTTCTTTCCATGCTGTGGACAGAGGCATCGCGGTTGTCTAAGCCACCGAAAATACTTTTGTGAGACAAATGATACCTTCTTCTACTTGTTTGAATAATCTCCGAGGTGATAACACTATTTCGCCTCCTAAAAAATGTGTAATAATTATTAGTACTTTAACTTTTACCCCATGATTTGCAACAATATGAAGATATTCTTTGTGTTTTTCTGTGTCTACTCTTCTTTTACTCTTGTCTCGCAGAATCTGAGCTACGAATGAAAAAAATATAATGATAAAGTTTACATCGTCTATATGGAATCCACTAATGGTGCCAGGCCAAAGGATCAAGCAAACACAATTGCTTTGTAATGGGCCAACAATAACTCATAAGCCAAGACCCAAATTGGTCCATACGGCCCAATTAATGCAATTTTAAAAGGCCACACCATTCAGCCCATTCAAAATTCTGAACAAGGCAAGCCCAAGTTCAAATATTAATATAAGTTAAAAATTTAAATATTAAAAGTTTAATTTAAACTATCAAATTCTAGTTTAGTATTAAGTATTAAAATTTTTATAAGGTCATCAATTTTTTATAATCTTAAACGAGCATGTTCGTAAACATTATTAAAATGAACATTAATAAGTTTGTTTAATACTAATAAACAAACGCTTATCGAATATGAACACAAATAGTACAGTTTACCCAAATTTGCTAACATCCCATATAATATATTATATGCATAAAAACCATCTCAAATTATAAATATTAAGGCCCAATACAAAATGATGGAAGGAGATTTTAAGAAACTGGGTCGGCCCAAAATTGAAAAACTGAGCCCAGATTAAAATATAAACCAGCAGGCCCTTTAAAATAAAAAGAACTGGGTCTGGACCATTTTCCAGACCCAGCCCATATATATGAAATTGTAATTCAAAATATATAATTGTTTCAATAAATGTTATTCCTTATATCATTATTGGATTTATTGCCACAGAAAAAAAAAAAAAAAAAAAAAAAAAAAAAAAAACAAAACAAAAACAAAAAATATATGACAGAGTACTGTACTATATTGTAATTTGTAAATGTATCTTGTTGTAGTCCAGGCACTGTATGGGATAATATGCATGCATCATTTTCAATTATATATTATATTATTCATCCTAAAATCAACAATGTTTTGGAATTACTATGTTATTTAAGTGTAAAAAGTTCTATTTAGGCAATCCTAATTAAGTTTGTTAGACTATTGATTTGTACACACAAGATTCCAACTTTCAAGTCTCACTCCTATAAGATTGGTATATTGATTTTATTAATTGTCCCCGATCAGTTATGAAAAACTTAACTTAGACTGATTTACCTCATTATGGTGATCAAACTTCCCTGGTTCATGTGTTCTGTTATCTATGTATAGGAGTTTGAAAGTTCTAAGCCAATATAAATGGTTCGGGTGTGGAAAGACTTCTAATTCTTAAGTGAACATTCTAGACGGTCTCAAACATAATGCACTACTATGAATAATTTCACACATAAAATTCAACTTAACAAGAAATTATTATAATTCCTAACTTATGCAATTCTAAAGGCGTAAATTCGCGTAACTATAAAATATAATGCTATGCTAGTGAACAACCATGCATAATATTCAATTAAAATGAGCCATAAATATAATCCAATTATTATTCAAACTAATATTTGTCTCGTGCGATGCACGAAAAATATATTATAAAAATATACCCTATATGAGGTTTATTCATATATAAAAATTTTGTTATTTAATAATTATTATGTGTGAATTCCTATGATAAAATTATGAACATAAATATATTTACAATTAAAATAATATTTAAGGTGGGTGATTACTACAAATCTTAAACTATATTACAAATTTAGTACATAGTATTTATTATTACAAATTTTTAAAAACTTAATAAACTACAATAGTAATTGAATTACAATTTTAGAGTCACCACGGATTAAAATTTTTAAACCTTTGAGATTTCTAACTTTAGATGTAGCAACATATAATTGACATTTAAATCCCAAACAATTGAGCACAAATTAAAATATAAACCAACAACCGCCCGCCTGGAACCCATCCCTACCATATTTTATGCAAACTACAATCATGGTATTTCTAAATCTGGAGAAAACAACACTAACAACATAAACCATATCTCTTCTACACGTCTTAACATATGGAATTAGCAACCAAAATCAGTTCCTTAATGCAAAAGCTCTTATCCATCCGGCTGTTGCGCATCTTCACGGTTATACGTCGCTCATTAATCAACAAACTTGTTCAGCTATATATAGGGATGCTTCTTTGGTTGAATTGAAGCCCCTCATCATCATCCTAATCATTATATTATCAATTTATCATCATCACCATTCAGCAGCAATACCAAGCTGTTTTTCCTGATCCAATTTTGCACCTCCAAACAACCCGCTCTTGGGATTTTCTGAATTCCATTTCTTATTAAAAAATCTCTCCTTTCGTCGGACTACACTCAACCATTATCTTTCAATGAAGCAGATAGGGAGGGATTAGAAATCTGGCCTTATAGATAATGGTCGATGGATACTTGAGGTGTGGCCGGGAAGGGAAAGTGGAGGAGCTCTACCAACTGTAACACGTAATAAGCGGAAGGTGAGCTAGTTTCATGCCCAAGGTTACATTTGAGTAGCTAGCAGTTTATCAATTTACATTAATTTTTGTTGTGACTCTTAGGAAATTAATTGGGACTAGATTTTATTATGACGTATTTGGAGTGACATTTTTGTTGACTAGGGACACGTTAGGCCACGGAAGCCACGTTGTGTCCATGACCGCTGGTTCAGTAGTTAAAAACGTGCCACAATGTTATTTCACCATAACGTTGCACCATAGTATGACACTATTTTTTTTTTTTTTTTTGAAACGATAGTATGACACGATTTTAATTACTGAAATAGCCGTCGTTGACACAACATGACTTCCATGGCCTAACGTGTCCCTTGTTGACAAAAATGGCACTCCAAGGCATCGTAGTAAAATCTAGCCCCAATTAATTTCCTAATAAGAGTCCCAACAAAGATTTATATAAGTTGCTAGCTAAGCTACTCAAATACACTGAACCTTGGACATGAAACTAGCTTGTCTTCTCGCTTATTACCTGTTACAATTGGTAGAGTTCAAATCATACCCTTCCTCGCACTTTCCTTCCCGGCCACATATCAACTACTCATCAACCATTAAATATATGCTATTGATGAGCTTGCAAGATATACATGTATTTTTCAATTGTTAGATATCAATACGTACGTGAAATTAGTAGAATATTATACATTGTTGACCAGATGGAAGTGGTGTGAATTTGTTTCGATCAGTGACGATCTACCATGGCCATTAGACCCTTGGAAGGCATGAGGTAAAATTATTATATGCAAAACTCGCACTCCATGTTATTACTTTAGTCAAAGACAATAGAAAATTGTGCTAGCGGCTGACAATTAATACTATACCTTTAGCACCCATTAGCACCTCTCATTGTCTCTGACTAAAGTAATAATCTGGAATGCGGATTTCGCAAACAATAATTTTATCCTATGCCTTCCAAGTGTACTAGTGGGTACCAAAGATATAGTATTAATTGTCAAATGATGTTTTATCTAGTTAAGTTGAGGTAACTAAAAATCTAGTTACCTTCCTGTTCTGTTATTGTGGAGCTTGGAAACACACCAAAGCTGTAGATAAATAGCCTATAGGAGTGGGTGCCAAAAGTATAGTATTCATCACTGTCAACCAAGAAGATAGGCTATTTGCCTACAACTTTGATGTGTTTCCAGGCTCCACAGATTTGGCATTTAACATATATATGAAATTGTAATTCAAAATATATAATTGTTTCAATAAATGTTATTCCAATTCCTTATATCATTATTGTCCAGGCACTGTATGGGATAATATGCATGCATCATTTTCAATTATATATTATATTATTCATCCTAAAATCAACAATGTTTTGGAATTATTGAGAGTAATGTGGATGAGATGTTCACATGACATTTCTTATGTATGTCTTGTAATGTTTGTTTTCTTTTTCGACCGTAATTAAGAGTGAATAGATGGGCCAACAGAAATTTAATAATGCTATGATATACACATATAACATGCATGGGTCCAACACGCCATTATCCAGTTCCAGACTCACAAAATACTTTTTATTTTTTTTTTAATAACTATTGGTTGAAAAGTTGATTATATATAGCAATTATTTATGATTAATTATAAGCTATTGATGTTACAAGAAAAATCAAATTATTAAAATTCTTGTGTATTTAAGTTGTAATTAATTATTAGTTTATTACATTGTTAAATCTGTTGAAAGTATTTTTTTAAAATTTTATTGTAGTATAATAAATAATGTATAAATTTGTTTAAAATAGAATAGTAGCAAATTTGAAATTAAATATATAAATAGATATATGTTGAAGCTAATAAACACTAATATAAACTATTAAATACATAATTTTTATTATTAATTTGAACTTTTAAATTGATAGATTGATGTATAAATTAAAATAGGAGAAGTAATAACCATTTGGGACAATCCACCCAACCCCAACAGTTATGCATGGTTTAGGGGGGTGTTATGCAGTGGAACTGTGCCCACCTTGCAAAATAGACACAGTTATAAACAGTAGATTAATAATTTAAATATAGTAAATTTATAATTTTTAAACTGTACGATTGCAAAGAGAGAAATGTCATTAACAACCAGTAAAAAATAAAAATAATAAAAATTAATTAGAACGGCAACAAAAACGACACCGTTGTGCAATTGTGCCACCTTGTAAGTGGGCACGTGTTCACAGCATAATTTGCGTGGTTTAGGTGGGCATGTGCTTCGTACTGTTGCGTGTAGTGCGGGGATAAGAAAAGAAATTAAGAAATACAACTATCTATCTATGAAGAAATGTAGAATGAAACATCTAACCTACAAAACTAGTGTCTCAAATGGATCCACTCAGACACTTGACCAGTTGACCATTGTCTACTCGGTGGCTCACAGCTCACTTCACTACTCATGGTACTAAATTACTTGTGTGCCCCTGATTGTGATTGGTAAGGTTCACTTAACGGCACAATTCTAACAAAGTGGGTTGGATAGTTGGTTATGTAATTATAAAATTTTATATTTAATTTATATATAGTGAGAGATGTTTTATTTATTTATTTATTTTAGCTTGAAACAATTAGCTATTGTATTTTAAGTTAGTTAATCTCAAACTAGTTAGAGCTACTTTGAATAGTGACTGTGTGCTATCTCATTGAAAAAAAAATGTGGTGAGCAGCTTGAATAATTTTCAATCTTATTTTTACATAATAGCAGGCATATCATTCATAAAATATAAATTCGCACTAAACAATCTCGCACAATAAATTTAATAAAAAATGTATTGACAAAAATTAAACTCTTAATCTTCAAGTATGATAATATAGTGTGATTAGTGGCCAGATAACTGAGAGAATTCACATTAATTCATTACACTAATACTATTATTGTGACCGATCACAAATTGTGAGATTAGAAAACGGAATAAATTTGAAATCATTGACTGATTAATTAAGCATGTGTGATTGTAATACGGTCCGACCAACCACCTAAATCCTAATCCTCCTTAAATTTAATGCACAACGCGTAGAACGATAAGATTCAAAATGGGGTTGTACAGGCTTCCAGCTAATACCACCCGGGTCGGGTCTCATCATATCCAACATCCTAGATTCCCAGCATGTCTGTTCTGCTCTTCACTTCATTCAACTTTTAAAAAAATAAAACGAATCGGTGCTTGAATTTATCTATCCGCCATCCCAAAAAAGTCAAAAAATTTTGTCGGTTGCCCTTAAAGTTTCCATCTTTTGAAAGAAAAAAAAAGTTGTGTCACTATACGTGTGCATTCTTTTACATGTATTACTTCATTATTATTAACTTTAAGCTAAATTTCACGAGAGAATGCAATCCTCTTTTCCGTTAATAAAAAGTGATTCTTGAAAGCACTTTGTCCTCGTCACTTCTCACAGAAGAAAAGCTGGTTCAGTGGTTCGTATCCTGCTGGAAACCTCCAAGACTAAGGATACTAAACCCGAGTAACTAAGTTTCCCCAGAATTTAGCTTCCGTGTCTTTATTGCCATCATACAGGTAATGTGTTACTCTCTGCTCTCTCTTCTCCTTCCTATTTAATTCAAAAAAAAAAAAAAAAATTATTGGGTTGATTGAGTTTGGTATGTTAGAAAATTGCAGTATGGAGAATTTGGGAGTGCAAAAATGGGTGGTGTATGGGTTGGCGTTTTTCATGATTCTTTTGAGAACAGAAGGCTTCTTTGTCGATATCACTTATGTTCAGAGTGCTGTGGCAAAAGGAGCAGGTCAAACTCAAACTCTCTACTCAAACAATTACAGATTTTATTATTTTTTTAAAACTTATTTATTTATTCAAGAAAAAAGTTTTAATCTTTTGATGCAATGATGGTTTTGCAGTATGTCTGGATGGAAGTCCACCAGCCTACCATTTTGACAGAGGATCTGGAGAAGGAATTAACAATTGGTTAATCCATTTTGAGGTTTACACTCACTTTCTTATTAATATCTTTACACTCATATTCTCAGGACTTGTAAGATTGAGTAGGGGTAATTGTTTATATTATATGCAGATTAGATTAAAGTTTCTTGGAAGTGCTATGAAACTATGGGATTCTTTTGGTTTTGGATATATATTCCATTTTCAAAATCTTTACTGTTCTTTAGGATTATGAAAATTAGAGCTAAATTTCCTTTACAGAAATTGTGATATTGAAAAGATTAGGCATTTATAAGACAGAAACAAACAAAGAACTTAGCTTGCTCAGTTCTTTGAATGTGTCACAACTAACAGTGTTCATTAAGTACTGGAGCTTTCCCACTTTACACTCAAAACAAGTTTTCATGTTTGGTTTCGGGTTTCAGGGAGGAGCGTGGTGCAATAATGTCACTACTTGCCTTGCTCGTAAGGATACTCGGTTGGGGTCTTCAACGAAAATGGTAAAGCAGGTTGCTTTTTCAGGGCTCCTGGGTAACCATCCCAAGAGAAATCCGGGTAATTTTTCATTCTTCATCTACACACTTCTTCTTATGGTGTTGTCCTAATTCATCATATTCCAAACTTTCAGACTTCTACACCTGGAACCGAATCAAGGTTAGGTATTGTGATGGATCATCGTTTACTGGCGATGTTGAGGCAGTAAACCCGGTATGCATTTGTGCAATAAATGATACTTCTAGCAATCGTCTTTCTTTTGATGAGTTAGAATTCAAGATAGTTACAGATTCCTACCGATAATTTATGATATATTATACTGCCAGAAAACCAATCTTCACTTCAGAGGTGCAAGAGTGTTTGTCGCTGTTATAGAAGACTTATTAGCCAAAGGAATGAAGAATGCAAAAAATGTACAGTCTCTCGCTCGCTCTCTTTCACATGAGTACAGCTATCTCATTAACAAAAATGTTTCAATGTAGGCTATTATTTCTGGATGTTCTGCCGGAGGATTGACTTCAATATTGCATTGTGACAAGTTTAAAACTCTCCTCCCAGCGAGTACTAAAGTGAAATGTCTTGCAGATGCGGGTTACTTCATTAACGCGTAAGATTTCTCATGAAACATGTGTGTTTTTCTATGATTCTGTGCTGCTAATAATGTTGGTCCTTTTTTTTTTTTTCATAGGATGGATGTTTCTCAAGCGGCACATATTGAACAGTTCTACAATGATGTTGTTACAACGCATGTATGCTTAATCATTTCTGCGATTTTATTTAGCTGGTTCCTGCATTGAATTACGGAAGTTAGAAAGGAATTTGATATGTATCGTTTTTCAGGGGTCAGCCAAGAATTTGCCTACTTCGTGTACATCAAAGATGAAGCCGGGATTGGTAAGAGTAGTCATTTCTGGATTTCGTTAACCCCGGTTTGTAGTGCATCTAATACCAATACACCTTATTGTTTTGCAGTGTTTTTTCCCGCAAAATATGGCACCAACTATTCAGACGCCTCTGTTCCTAGTCAATTCAGCTTATGATTCCTGGCAGGTCGAAATGTTTCTGAATTTTATATGTTAAGCAATTCGCTGTTTCAGTCCTATGTTATTGCTATCAATAAGAAATAATTAATTGTTATTTCTTTCGGCTTTCTGACTTGGAATTGTTCGATTTTCAGGTAAAGAACATCTTGGCTCCCGGGGTAGCTGATCCCCACGGGACATGGCATAGCTGCAAGCTTGACATATTGAAATGCTCTGATAGTCAGCTTGGCATAATGCAAGGTTAATTACTCCTATGCTGCTCGTGAAGCCTTAAATTAACTATCATTATTTGTTGGTTTTTTATCGAATGACCAAATTTACACTCAGACATTTTGAGTCGTTTCCAGGTTTCAGGATGGAGTTCCTGAAGGCATTAGGTGCAGTAGCGAATTCTCCGTCGAGAGGATTCTTCATCAACTCCTGCTACGCCCACTGTCAGACCGAGGTCCAGGAGACATGGCTCAGGGACGACTCTCCCGTGTTGGCTGGCACGGTAACCTCGACATCTGCTAACCTTTTTCCTTAAATTTCCCATCGAATTTCTTTCACTGTCTGCACCCTACGGTTGCAATTAACTGATTGCTCGAAAAACTTCGATCTGCTGCAGAGCATTGCCAAAGCGGTTGGAGACTGGTACTATGACAGAAGCCCGTTCCAGAAGATCGATTGCCCTTATCCTTGTGACAAATCATGCCACAATCGCGTATTCGAATAAGCGTTCTTCGGGAACCTTTTACTCCAAGTTGTGAAGATTCCCAGAAGGAGAAATCAGAAATGGGAAAGTGTTTGTTGATGATGATGATGATATATGTCAAGTGTTCAGAATAAAGGAATCACACCATTGCAGAGGTATCTTGGTGTTTTGTCTCTAAGGCTCAAATTTGTACCTTAATAACTGTAATTGAGTAGTACTTGTTTTCAATGGTATCCTGCCTACAAGTTAGGAGATTGGGATACAATGAAGAGGAAAATGTTATTTGTAATTTTTAATTGCACGAAAATAATATAATGGCCTTACTATTTTAGAAAAGTGGTATTGAGTATTTATTTATTTATTTTGATAGGAGGATATTTGGATAAAGAAAATTGTTCCAACAAGACAGACAGGATAACATGAATTTCATTATCAACTTTAAAATTTCAACTTAGATCTATCCTCAACTTTCTGATAGATGCATGCATATATGCTGTATGAGTATGATCGCTTTATTTTATTGAGAGAAGGGCCCCCCAACTCCCAATTTCTTAATTACTTATGTTTTACAAAACAAACCACGTAAAATGCTACAATTTTCTGACATTTATATTATTATCGCCAAAAAAAAAAAAAAGAAAAAAAAAAAAGAGGAGGAGTGGACCTACCCGGCTTAGGGATTTCTCAACCAACTCTTTTATTTCTCACAAAGCTGGCCTAGTGACGTTATAGGTCTTTGATAATATTATATTTAAAACTTGTCAATTTCATCCACATATGAATTTAATTTGATCTTTAATATAATATGTCAATCAAAACTTGACATCACGTATTAAAAGACAATTTTTTTTAGATCATAATAAAAGACTTGGACCATAGATACATTATCTATATGGTGTCATTGAAAATCTTTTTATTTAGATTTTGTGACAAATTTATATAATAATGAATAATATTAATCACAGAATTATTCAGTTATTGAATAAAGACTCTCTCTTGCCATATTCAGTGTATAGTCTTCAATCATATTCTTCAATCTTTGGTCCTTCCTTATTAACCCTTTCTCATCTACTTATGGCCTGCAGCTTCAATTCCACTATAAATATTTAAAAAAAATAAAAATAAAAAAATTCCACAGATCTTTCAATTTTAATTTATTATTTGCAGTATTATTATGCATGCATCATGCAATTATTTGTGTATCCACTTGATTTTATATTTAGAGCAAAGCTCAAATAAGCTCTCAAATTATTTAACAAAATTAAAGTCAATTACACTTTTGAATTACAAAAAACTTTATACTTCGTTGATCCTTTTACTTAATTAATGAACGGTTGAGTTAACGTTTATCTTTTCACTATCCTATCAGATTAAGTTGTGATGGTCTAAAAATGAAGAAATTTCACCTTTTTCTGGGCATATAATAATTTTGCATCCATTTGGTGCCACGTATATCCACATGCAGTCTAAAGGATGATGGATTGAGCATTATTAAATTCTAGCTATCTAACCAACAATCCATATGTATAGCACTTTACAGATAATAATGAAATACCAAACCTTGTGGAAGATCACGGACATCAACTTAGGTTCTTCCAACTGTACGTGTCGGTTTGCCCGTTTAGGATTATATGACAGACATATACACACATCCTGCATGTTGGATTTTCTCCTCTTCACCTAATTCTTTACCATGTTTTCTTTTCATCCCAATCAGCTGACACTTTATACCTTTTTCTTTTCATCCCAATCAGACACTTTATACCTTTTTATATATATAGAGATAATACCAATTAGGGTTCTCCGATCCGAGTATATATACATATTAATCGTGCACGTTTAGTGCTAAACTTTCAAGATAATTACTCTTTCAATTTTTTAAATTTTAACCAGTTAACTTTGTCATTACTTTAACTAATGGAAGGATCACTACTGATTAAATTTAAAAGTTGAAGGACCACTAAGATTTTACAATTGCCCAACTCAAAATCAACCGGATGGAAGAGCTGAAATTATTAATGTTTTTCGATTGGAAATTTGAGACACATAACTTGTAGCCAATCAAATATAATGTGATCAGTGTCTATTCATTATGTCTCTAGATTAGTGAATAAGTTCACTCATGCATGATGTGGTTAGAGTTGCTCGTTCTTCTATTGGTCTTACTATTTGGTTAATTAGATTATGTTCCTCCTTGTATTGAAATTTTGATTTAATAAAGTTTTGAATTTCCCTTTATATATATATATATATATATATATATATATATATATATATATTATTTTGGTTCAAATGAGAATAGAGCTTCCCGTGCAGTCGGTGTGATTTACATCATTAGATATGCATAAATACATTACACACCAAAAAAAAATGCACCACACATAATGGTATATTTTCGAACACTTGTGTGGTACATACCTAATAGTGTAAACCGCACCGACCGGCGACCGCACAGGAATCTAACCTATATATATATATATATATATATATATATATATATATATATATATATATATATATATAATGTGATTAAGAATTGAGAAGATGAGAGTGAAACAAGGAGGGAGAGAGACAAAACAGACATCATATCGTTGGTAAGACTGTAAAAGAACGTAACAAGCTAAGGATATCATCAGTTAGTTTGGATATATATATGTATATGTATATATATAGTCCGTGTAAAACTGATCGACTTAGCTAGCTTGTTCGATCCAACCCTGCCTCCCCGGCCCACACGAATTCAATCGATCGCTTCATCTATCATTAATGACGCCACCACGTACACATTACGTAACTTTCCTTCCTACCCACCAATATAATGCTCTTACTCGATCCGCCATGGCAGCCTTTCATTTCGATCTCTCCATCTCCAAAATTATATTATTCAATAATAATTCTCTCTTCACTTTTCTGCCAACATCTCCTCTTACACCTGCAGCACCCTACCACGTGTCTAGCTTCAATTCTTGTCGCCGTCAGCCGCACTCGTTTCTTGAATCTCCGATCACTGCACCGCCGTCGGTCTCGCTCGCAGTCCGGCACAACAAGCTAAGAAGGTCAGTTACGTTGCATTAGATGTTAGTGGATCGGATTTATATGTAATTAAAGGCTTATATAATCTTAGGTTGTGTTTAATTTGGTTGGAATATGAGAATTAGAATCAGAATTAGAATTAAATACTTAATCATTAGAATGAGTTTTGTGAATGTATTTTTGCATGTTAAGTACTTGGGTGGAATTTGGATGATATTGATGTTTGGTTATGTATGATCTTATACTTGAAATAAAAGTTTTAAATTAAAAATACAAAAATAACCAGAATATTAATCTTAAGAGTGAAAATTGAGTGAGTAGGCAATGCGGTGCGGTGAGGATGCAACAAAATAAGTAGGTGATGAAATAAGTTGGGGTAAGACTTGAATTACTGGAATGATACATGATTTAAATTAGGTAATGAATTTTGTAATTATAAGAGTAATCAAATCCTATACCGTTGTTTTAAAAAAGTTGTGAACCAAATAATGCGTATAACTCCTATTTTCATTCCTTGTACCTAACTCCATGAACCAAACACATTCTTAGTTTTTTATTTTTTTATTTTTTTTATTTTTTTTTATTGAGTACTATTGACTATATTACAAGGTAATATCTGTTCTATACTTTATTTATTACAAAAGTTAATACCCTACCACCGGAGTTCAATCCTGTGAGCTTCCTTCAAAAAGAGCCACAGAGATGCTATCTGAGCACACCCTTAGTTTTGAAACAAAATTTTTAATTTGTTCGTTCTAAGCACTATATATGTTGTTCTAAGGAATTTTGTTTTCGTGTTGGTTTGGCTGCCTGAATCTTTACGTGTTAGTAGTTCGCTATAAGTAATCATGAATTAAATGTGTTCATTATTAAATGATTTTAATGCTCTTTCTCTATCCCAAATGATGGTACATCATATTATAAATATCTTTGTTTATATTTTGTTAGACAAAAATTACTCTTTTCTATTATAACTTCTATTATATAATAATGTTTGTTATTTTCATGTTTACCGAATCAAAATATTTTTTTACCAATTAAAAAACATGATTCTTGGTTTGTTACATTTCATTTCATTTGTTAAATATGGTATATTTTAAATTTTTATGACGAACTATATCCATAGAAATTTTATTAATTGTATATAATTCTTTTTAAATTTAAAATGCATCAACACAAGTATTTTTGAATCTCTAAAATATAGTTAAAATATAAGAAGGTGGTGTGTTTAGTTTAATCTAAAAGATGAAATAAGTTAATATTACTATTTTTATTTACTGGCATAGAAATAAAAACCTTATAGGATTAACATTTTATAATATATAGGATTTCAACCTTATTTATAAATCATTTTAAACCATATCCAATAAAATTATACATATTGGAGAAAGTCCTTTATATTGGGCGTTAAATTCCACACTCCCGCTAGCAGTATAGTATAATATTCGGTATACAAGATTTCCTACATATAAAATTACATAGTTTTTGTTGTTAATAAAAATAAAATACTATTACAAGTTCGACCCAATAAAAGCAGTTGTCTATTGATCTTTTTTATTTAAGCCGGTAAGCTATGGACAACTTAAATTACTTTACCTCATTGTGATCTTTTGTCGGCTAGGGTCACAAGGCGAAATTTACCATGTGTACACTCTCATCAAGTAGTGGCTATAGATTTCTCTCGTCATATAAAAATAAAATATTATTTTAGTCACTTTTTTTTTTTTATCATATATTGTAACAAAAACATAACTTGTAACAACCAAAAAGTAGTAAAAATATTTAAGTTTAATTAATTATTATATGCGTAACATTTTTTTCCACAATTAAAAACAAAAATGTCATTTTCTCTGATATGACATTTTTCATAATAAAATGTTTCCGTGTATGAAAAAGATGACCAGCAAAAGCTAAGCCACCGCAATTTAATTATTTTTGTCGCTATAGAGTATAGTCAAATCCAACAAAATATTCCACGCAATTATTTCTAATAAAATTTACTATTTATGAAAACGATGGGTGAAACTAGATTTGGTATTGTAGTTTATTCAATTCTTTTTATTTCCATAGTTTTTTTTGGTTACCTTATATATATATATATATATATATATATATATATATATATATATATATATATATATATATAGATTATTTGCAACAATGATGTCTAAATTAAAAAATTTACGGTTTATATGTATATTTTACTCAAAAATCTAAAATATTTATCGTACTGAAATTACTCCATAATATTTATACATGTAGTATTATTATTGTAGGTGTGTTTTTTTGGTATTTGACTCTTGGTATATAGACTATTTATTAATTTCCATAAAGTTTATCAATTTATGGGTGGTTTTCATTTCGTATAGGAAAGGAAAAATCGCGTGCTTTTAATAACTTCTATTGATGGATGGAAGTTTTCCAAAAATAAAAAACAATTCAAGCATCTAATGCTTTTAGTAAAATCTTTGAATTCAATTAATTCCTCATAAATAAAAAAAAAAATATTTTTTTGCCAAACACCTTGTGGTCTGGCACCTTTGTGGCTCATTTGAGGAAAAAAAAACTATAGGATTGAACCCAAATACCATTTTGTAATAGAGTCAATAGTACTTTAAAAAGTTAAATATATATTTTTTTTGTTGTATTTAATTAGGATTTCAATTAGTATCATGTAATTTTTATTTAAAAAAAATTATATATATGTATCAGTTGCATTGGGTCAGACAAAGGAGTGTGTTGATTTGCGATGGAAGGAAGAAGAATGCAGCTATGGCTGGTATGTGTGTTATCCTTTTCGCTGATTCTTGTCGCAGTTGAAGGGTTGTTTGTCAACATTACAATTCTCAAAAGCGCCGTGAAAACAGGAGCTGGTAAGAGCGGTTTACTATGAGGACAATTTTCAGTTAAGTTTAAGAGTGGTCTATTGGACTTCTTGATTTGCGTTGATTATCTATCAACAATTTAAGTCGATTTACTTGTGATCCTGAGTCTTGAAATCGGGCTTCATCACATTGATTAAGTTGGAATACAAATAGACTTTAAATGTTTTAACAGATTTTTGTTTCTTAATGAGTTGATGTTTTGTAGTTTGTTTGGATGGGAGCCCACCGGCTTATCATCTCGACAGAGGCATTGATAATGGTATCAACAATTGGCTAATCCAATTAGAGGTTGGTTTAAACTTTCAATTGTTCTCACACCCTGCTCGCTTTATATTATAATAATATTAAAAGAATCAAATTAAAATACTCTATTATTATTTTGAGTGTAGATAATTTTAAAAGTTGTTATTAACAGGGTGGAGGATGGTGCCATAACATTACAAATTGCCTTGCTCGAAAGAAGACTCGTTTAGGATCCTCCAAGGAAATGGCTTCACCACTAGCTTTCTCTGCGATTTTGCACAACAAACCTGAATTTAACCCAGGTAGAAAAAAAAAAAAAAAAAAAAAAACTATGGTTAATATATGGTTTTGTTTCTCACATCCTTTTTCTTCTTTTTCGAGAGATTAAGAACAATCGAACTTCATTAAAATTTCTAGATTTCCACACATGGAATAGAGTCAAAATCAAATATTGCGATGGTGCATCTTTTACCGGTGATGTTGAGAAAGTCGACCCGGTTAGTTATATTGATACTTTCTTCTTTTAATTGGACCCAGAGACGGAGGCAGTATGGGGGCAGCTGCCCCCACTCCCCACCCTACCCCTTTATATATATGTATGTATATATCGACATATATAGCTTTAAATGTTGTATAAAATATATATTTATGTTCAAAATACTAATTGTTAGAGTAGTTTAGTTGATAGAACTTTAAATTTACATTTGAAAAATGTATGATCATAAGTTCAAATCTCATTAAAAACATTTTTCCTTATCTTCACTTATTTATTTTTTTAGCCTACTTTTATGAATCATTCAATTAACAAATTAAAATCTTTTTTAGTCTACTTTCTATGAATCATTTAATTAATGTAGTATACAAGTTTATATTATACTTCATTGTATTCAAATTATTTTATTTAATTGATTATGTTTCATATTTTATCATAAATATTTTTACATTTTTACCTCACTCAAGTATATTTTTGACTCCGACTCTAACTATCGTTTAATATATCAAAAACATGCTATTGTAATTTATAATATATTTTATATTTTAATCTTATTATGACTGTGTGATATTTGTCATTGATATTCTAACGTCATTTAAACTTCGCCCCCAGTCAAATATTTTTCTGGCTCCGTCCCTGATTGGACCTATTATATTGTACTCATGGGAGAGAGCATATTGTTGTTTTCAGGCTACCAATCTTCACTTCCGAGGTGCAAGGATTTTCCCGGCCGTCATCAATGACTTGTTGGCAAAGGGAATGAAGAATGCCAAAAATGTAACAATTTATTGATTGAGCACTTTAATTTCCACCCTTCATTTCTTCTATAATGCCACAAAAATGGCATTTTCATGGCGGCTGAATCACAAATCAAACTGTCTTTGTAGGCTATTCTATCCGGATGCTCAGCTGGGGGATTGGCTACAATCTTACACTGCGATAAATTCAAAGAGCTTTTACCAAAGACTGCTAAAGTAAAATGCTTTTCGGATGCCGGTTATTTTGTTAATGTGTAAGACTTCTTACACATTATATAATACTTCTCGGGAATTTCGAGTACCAAGTTTGTAAATTTTTTTTTTTTTTTTGTTAGTAAAGGTTTTTTTTTTTGGTTTTACAGGAAAGCCATTTCAGGAAAACCAGTTTTTGAAGAGTACTATAATGATATTGTTAATTTACATGTGAGCATCTTTAATTCTTCAATATTTTTGCAAGTAGATTTTGTCTTTTATTTATTTTTATTTTTATATTAATTTAAACTTGGTTAATTTTAGGGATCTGCTCAGCATTTGCCCAGATCATGCATCGCAAAGCTAAAACCAAGCTTGGTAAGATACATGTACACACAGGGCGGACCCAGATTTTTTTTTCAGTGGACGAAATATTAAAACAAAAGGGATAGCTTAAAAAAATAAACACTTGCTCTACTATTTAGGCTAACTTATTTTATGTTAATATTAGCTATTTTCTTTTATTTATACTAAACCTTGTACTATATATATACATACAAAGGTTATAAATAGGGTGGGGGTGAGGGTGGAGTGAGTGGGGGCAGCTGTCCCCACTGTAGGTCCGCCACTGCACACACATACATAGTATATATGAAAAGTTCTGCAATATTGTCTCGTGTCTTATATTTGGTCGTGTTGTACCAAAAAACAAGACATGCTACCGCTGTACTGGCGGATATTATAAAAGTTAGAGAAAATTTCAATTTTGGTCACATGACTATAAGGGCATTGTTAATTTCAGCACCTGACTTTCAAAAGTGTCAATTTAATACCTTGACTATGTAATTTTTGTCAATTTTGGTCACTCTGGCCGAATTGACGGTCAAATTTGGCCAGAAAATTTTAATCAAATATTTAGTCTATAATCTGAGGGGCAAAATCGTCTTTTGATCATTTCTAGACTAAATGTTGGATTAAATTTTTCCGGCCAAATTTGACTGTCAATTTGGCCAGAGTGACCAAAATTGACAAAAATTACATAGTCAAGGTACTAAATTAACACTTTTAAAAGTCAAGTGTTGAAATTAACAATGCCCATATAATCGTGTGACCAAAATTGAAATTTTCTCTAGAAGTTATAACACACCGACACTTTGGTTGTGTGTGTGTATATAAACATATATAATTTTAATTTTATTGATGTTGATAAATTTAAAAATTTTGCAGTGTTTCTTCCCTCAAAATGTGGTTTCAGACATTAAGACACCACTGTTCCTAATAAATTCAGCCTATGATCATTGGCAGGTTTGAATAATGTAACTCAAAATGTTGTAAAATATTCTTATTTTAATTTCATGATCAGATAATTATGGACAACTTATAAATTTATTGATTTTTATTAATTTTCAATAATAAAAACAAAACTTCAGGTTAGAAATGCCTTGATTCCTGCCGTCGCCGATCCCTCCGGGGAGTGGAACAAGTGCAAGGCCGACATAGTTAATTGTCTGCCTAACCAACTCAAAACTCTCCAAGGTAGTTAATTCTCGTTATTTCCTCGTAACACTTTTTTTTTTTTTTTCTTGTATTTCTGGGATGAAATTAATCGAGTCAAATCTGTAGAGTATAGGTTGGAGTTTTTAAAAGCATTCAACGGATTAGAACCTTCCAAGGAAAGAGGGTACTTTATCGACTCTTGCTATCTACACTGTCAGACTGAACTGCAGATGTTTTGGCACATGCATAATTCTACGAGGTTGTCTAACAAGGTAGTTAACCAACTAACACGTATTACAGTTATTTAATCATTGTCACGTGCCGAATCACTAATGTTAGTTGTTATATGAATGGCGGCGGTGCAGACGGTGGCGCAAGCGGCGGCGGATTGGTTTTTCAACAGAGATTTGTTTCGGAAGATAGATTGCCCTTATCCCTGCAACAAAAGTTGCACCAAAACGGCCACTTTATTATTGGACGACCGTGATCTATGATCCAATATAATCATATTTTCTTCATAATTTTATACAAACATATAGAAGGAAAAGTAGTGCTACAAATAAATGGGGGAATAATATTTTCTAAATTGAAAAGGAAATAGGAAAATGGGTATAGGGAAACTAGATAGACAACAGTGGAATAGATTATACAGGTTTTTGAGTATATAGCTTTGTACTGTGTAATTTCATTTCATGCATCATTTCAATATATTCCAAATTCTCAATCTTCAAATAAATAATCACAAATATAGAATAAAAAAAAAGAATATAATACACCCACAATCAATACTGTTCAAGAATGTACATTAGTTAAACTCTCTGTCTTGTGATCCTGAATATTAAAAAAAATGTTATTCATATCAAATAATGTACTAAATCTAACAATTCAAATTCAGTACTTATAAATTAATTGATTTTACTAATAATTGACAAACAAAATTGGATCCAATTAACAAACAACACTTGCCCATTCCTGGTAAAAGAGGAATTTACAAGATCCCTATTACAGAACAAATGGAAAAAGCAAAACCGTACTTTCTATATAAAAGGAAACTACGTTAGCAAACTATAAAATGTGCAACATACAAGAAAATTAAATTTTTAAAAAAAAACACAGACACACACAAGAAATTGCGTTAGCTTCCTAAATTGGAGTTTGATGTTGTATCAAGACTTGTTGGCTTGATAAAGTTGATAGAGTTCATGGCCATTTGGCAGTGAGTGAACGAACTCTTCTGGAACCAAACACTTGTCATTTGAGTACAACTTTTCTTGAATCAACGATGACCCAACAAGACTCTCAAGTTCTTCATTCATAAATGTCTCCCCAGTTTCCTGAAATATTATGAATGCACAATATAACTGTCAAGGCATATGATTAATATGGATAATTGGGATGTTAATGATCATTAAGAGGGGAACTCAAGCATTGTAACATCTAATAATTAATCGATTAATAATCTTGTTCACAAAAGACTGAAATTTACCTGTGATGAGTGGTGGCAGGATTGAAGCACCGAAAGTTGAGTTTGCATGAACTTAATGTACTTGTAAGCGGCCTGAAACATCTCGGCGGTGTTCATCTTCTGGCCGCCGGGGATGAGCTTCCCCAGCTCCTGCGTCTTCTCCGTGATCCTCCGCCTCCTCTCCCTCGCCGCGATGCTCTGAGCCGACAGCGTCTTGGCGCTGCAGTTTCCGTTATCGTTCTTCTTCACCGCCACCTCACTCTCAGCGCAACCACAATACGCGGGAATGGGAGCGGCCGGGAGCTCCGGGAACATAGGCAGAACGCTTTCTGAAGACGGCGGCGGCGGCGGCGGCGGAGGAGGAGGATTCAAGTCTTGGAGCAGAGGAGGGTTGGGAATGAAGACGCCAAAACAATTCTGCGTAATCTCCGGGAAATGGTCGTGGTAGAGCTTCTGGCGTTTCGGGTGGGTCTGGAACTCCACTTCTTGCGGAATGGAGTATTCCGGCGGCGGCGGCGGCGGCGGAGAAACGTAGTTGTCGGAAAAAATGAACTCGCCGGAGTTGAAAACAGGATCAAAAGGAGACACCGCCGACTCCGGGAGAACAAAAGCGTGGTTGTTCAACCCGAAAAGAAGCTCAGCCGCCGGAGCTTCAAGCTGATCATCATCCACCATTTGAGGCTGCGCGAAGAAAGGCGGCGACGCCATAACAGCAGAACCGTCCAAGGTTTCGCAAAAGTTAAGGTGCTGATCATGAACAGTTCCCCAGTTGGAGCAATAGCTTAAACTCGCCATTTCAAGAATCTTTCAACTTCTTCTGAAAATGATCGATAACCAAAATATGAAAAAAATACAGTTAGTGTAATAAGCAGACAAAAAAATGGATATATAATTGACAGATACATATAGAGAGAGAGAGCGATACCTGCGACAGAAGATACTATGTTGTCTTTAAGAATCCTAGATATGATAAAATGTTGTTGAATGACAGTAGACAAAAAAGTGAAGAAGCTTCTATTCAAGATTCTACAGTTGCTTAGCTAATGCCTATTTTACAGAGAGAGAGAGAGAGAAAGACGTGGGAAGTTACAGAGAGAGAAGGAGAGCAGTTATAATTTTCAGGAGTAACTAACTCCCCTAATTATGAGGGTATTATTTCACCAATTAATCCATCATCTTTCTTTCAAGGCTATATTTAACCCTAAACTTTTGATATTGTTAATTCAATTCCACCATAGATCGGGAATTAATAATTTCTAATGGTTGTTGTTACTTCCACTCATAAATAAATTATGGGTAAATGTTCTTTTTTTTGCCATAAATTTTTAGTGCACAAATTATACAAGCTAAGTACAACAATTATCATATTCCATTTTTCAATAAAAAATAGTAGAAGTACTCCATGGAGTATAACTTTCCGTGTCCCACCAAGTCTCAAATTTTATTAGAAGTAAGAAATGGGAGTAAAAAATGAAAGTATCTGTAAAATTACTTTTTTCTCTATGATAGATAAAAGAAAGAAAAATACAATTGCAAAAAAATGTTTTTTAACTTTTTTTTTGGTCAAAAGTTAATAATATTTTGCCTTATTTTCTTTATTTTTGTAATACATAATTATGACCAATTAAATTATTTTAAGTAAATTAAAAGTCTAAAAGACGCAAGGACATTAAAATGGGAGTAACTAACCTATGGACTAAACACAAATAATCAATAGTAAAGGGGTGAGAAATATAAATTTTTTGCAATTAGCATGGACATACTGTAATTTATGGTGAATTTAGGGGTTTCTTTTAATCCTTCGAGCGTTATGGCCCATTTTCCTGGGCAAATGGCGGCTACATATTATCCCAAACCGTTACTTCTTCCAGATTTTATCCTATTTATTTTTATTTATTGATTGAATTTTGGCACATTTTATTTATTTCTTTGCTCGCAAAAGACGAAATTCTCTCGTGAGTCTTGTCCTCGCCTCTCATACTTCAGCCCAATAAAATTCATTAGGTGGAATGATCAGTGGTAGGGAATATCCCGACCGACTTAAGCTCCACCACGACCGATTTTGCCTTTGTCTTTTTCTTCTGATCTTTGCAGGTAGCAGGTCGGGCTTTTTCATGAAGACCCCGGTCGGGAACGGCCGGAAGTTGCCCGAACGCTGGTGTCGATCACCGAGCGGTAGCCCTTTGACGAGAGAGCTGGCGAAAGGACGCGAAAGGACGCGTGGCGGCTCTTCATGATGACAGACAGGGCACCCGGGAGGGTGACACGTGGTGGCTACGTGGAAGACATGCCGAGCGGCCGGAATCCTGTCCCCGGCACAGCGGCTATAAATACCCACAGTAGCTACAGTGTAGGGGACTTTTGGACGATCGATAGGTTGTTGTTAGAGAATCCCGACCGCAGTCAGTCGGTACTCAGAGCAACCAAGTAGATTGTACTTAGGGCCTCTATTGTGATCAATAAAGTCATTTACTTGCTTTAATTGGTCTCGTGTTATTACATATTGCTTACGTATAATTAGCAGTATCATTTTGGCGCCGTCCGTGGGGATCCGTGCAAGAAACCAACGTCTTGACGAGCACCCGATCTCTATATCAACATGTATCCGTGGGCACACAACAACTTTGCCGACGACCAGGCGGATGCGGCGAGCTCCTCCGACCACTATGCTACCCAACAGCAGGGTCAGACGATGGACCTCAACCTCAACCTCTCACCACCGCATCCGTCAAATGCATACCCGGCCACCCAGCAACCGGTGAATTACATACAACCGGGATACCCAACACCCGGTCTGCCATACCAGCAGCAGCCGATGATGTATCCCGCCCAGTATCCGTACCCGGTCCCACCTCCGCCATACGGGTATTGGCCAGGCCAACCGATGTGCTACACTTCCCCGGTTGGTTATCCACCATATACGCCTGCTTACACAGCTCCAGCCGCCGCCCCTCCAGTACAACCGACCGCACAGGTAGAGCCGCAGCGTCAGTCCGCGTCCCGGGCTCGACGCTCGGCTCATTCGCGGTTGGGGTCGGGGGGAGCTGATGCGATGGAGGCACCAGCTCAGGCCGTCCAAGCGGAGGATCCTGAAGAAGTTGCCCGAGCGGTGGCTTTTGATCGTCTTCGACCGGAGATGCGCCAGCGTTTGGGACCCCAAGACCCGAACCGCGGGCAAGAAGACGTACAGATGCAGGAGGCTAGCCAGGAGGCTTCATCTGGGTATAGCGGGTCGAGATCTCACCGACGGCGACGCGCTCGGGATACAGCCCAAGCCGCTCAAGCCGCCGAGCTCAACGAAACCCGAGGATTACTCTATAACCTCCAGGCGGAAGTTGCGCAGCTCAGGAATGCGTACCCTGCAACGCCCCCGGTCAACCAATCGACCCTGCACCAGACGCCTTTCACAGCAGCGGTAATGGCCCAGGCGTACCCGCTTGACTTAAAGGTCTCTGGGGAGAAGAGTTATGACGGACGGGCGGATCCTGAGGCCCACGTGAATGATTTTTTCAGCAACATGATGCTGAAGGGCGTTTCGGACGCCGTGATGTGCAGGGCCTTCTACTCGACCCTCACCGGTCGGGCGGCAGAGTGGTTCCGTACCCTGCAACCGGGGTCGATCGATAAATTTGAGACCCTGGCGATCAAATTTGTGAGGAAGTTCATTACTTCTAAAGTGGTGAGGAAGTCCTACATGTATCTCGAGAAGGCCAAGCAATTAGAAGGGGAAAGCTTGACCGATTTCCTCATCAAATGGAAAGCAGCGGTCGGGGAGGTCGAGCCTATGGACGATGCGACCGCCACCCACATGCTTCACATATCTCTCCGGGCGGGACATTTGTATCAGGACTTCATCCTACACCCCTCGACCAGTTACGAGGAGGCCCTTCGGAGGGTCACAGACTATGCCAACGCCGGCGAGGCGAATGCCGTAAAGCGCTTGCAGGAGGTCGGCTCTTCGTCCCATAAACCGGCCGGCCGGGCGGAGCATCGGTCAGGAGATGACAATCCCCGATCCCGCACCAGGCCTGGCGAGTTTACGGCCTTGAACCGATCCGCAGCGGAGGCCATGCAGTACGCCCAGTCCTGCAATCTCATCAAACTCCCCCATCCCGATCGAGACGGCCCTGACAAGAGTAAGCACTGTGCTTACCATCGATGTGCTGGGCATGATACCGAGGAGTGTGCCCACTTACGCCAATTGTTGGAAGATTTGCTTAACAGGGGGAAATTGGACAAGTGTGTGGGGAAGAGAGAGGACAACAAGAGGAACACCGAGCGGAGGGATCATAGACGTTCCCATCACCGCTCTGATCGATCTGGGCAAGACAGAAGGGACGATCGACGGGATGATCGTCATGATGACCGACGAGACCCCGACCCTCCGTCTGGTAGCCGCCCGTCCGGAAAGCCTACCATCCACGTCATTTTTGGTGGACTGGAGGATGCTTCCCGACCGCGGACTAATTGCCCGGTCGCTATAGTGGATTCCCGGGGAACCGGGAAGAGGCAGAAGATGGAACCCATAACCTTCACCCTCGAGGACCAACCTACCAGCAGCGACCACGGCATGGAGGCGCTCGTGGTCACGATTGACGTTAAGGGGACAGACGTCCAGAGGGTTGTGGTTGACACGGGCAGCAGTGTGAACGTCTTATACTTGGACGTGTTTGAGAAGCTTGGCCTCGACAGGAAGGAGCTGACTCCGGTCGGTGTACCACTGTCAGGATTTACCGGGGCTCTTATTTACCCCGAAGGAAAAATAACGCTCCCGGTCGAGATCGGCACACCTCCAAAGTCGATCCAAACGGAGCTGGAATTTGTTGTGGTCAACCTCCACTGCGTCCACAACATTATCTTGGGCCGACCCGCCATCATGAAGATTGGTGGGATAATTTCTATGCCCCACCTGTGCATGAAATTCCCCACCCCTAACGGGGTCGGCGTGGTCCGGGGCGATGTCCAATCCGCCCGGAAGTGTTACACCCGAGCGGTCAATAGACGTGACTCCGGTCCATCTTCCCGGGTGAACACCATAGCCAAGGAGGAGGCTAAGGAACGGAAGGAGCAGCCTGAGCCTTCCGAAGAAATAGAAGAAGTTCCCCTATCCGAGGACCGCCCGGATAGGAAGATCAAGATTGGTCGAGCCCTCACCCCCGAGATCCGAGCGGAAGTTCTGGCCGTGCTCCGGGAGTATGCTGATATCTTCGCATGGGGGCCCGAAGATATGCCTGGGATCGATCGATCGGTCATCTGTCATAAGTTAGCCGTCGATCCCGCAGCAAAGCCGGTCGTGCAGAAGACACGACACCTTTCTTCCGACCGCCGCGAATTTGTCAGAGAAGAGGTCAAAAAGATGGCGGCGATCGAGCACATCCGTCCGGTAGTCTATCCCGAGTGGGTGGCAAATATCGTTCTTGTTCCTAAGCCCCCAGCATGGAGGATGTGCATCGACTTCACGGACCTCAACAAAGCCTGCCCGCTCGACCCGTATCCTCTACCGAGCATTCACCAGATGGTCGACGAGACCGCCGGGGCCGAGTTAATGAGCTTCATGGATGCCTTTAAGGGGTACCATCAGATCATGATGCACCATGAAGACGAGAGCAAGACAGCCTTCGTGACCCCGGATGGGCTGTATTGTTACCGAGTGATGCCGTTCGGCCTCCGGAACGCAGGAGCCACCTACCAGAGGATGGTCAACATGCTCTTTGCCGATCTATTGGGCCGAACGATGGAAGCTTACATCGATGACATGCTGGTCAAGAGTCGGGACCGATCCGACCACACTCGGGACCTCCATGAGTGTTTCCAGATCATGAGGAAATACCAGTTGCGGCTGAACCCGACCAAGTGCACGTTCGCGGTTCAGACCGGCAAGTTCCTCGGTTATATGATGACCAAGAGAGGAATCGAGCCTAACCCGGCCAAAGTAAAAGCGATTCTGGACATGCAGCCACCTTCCACCGTTCGGGAGGTCCAGCAATTGACCGGTCGGTTGGCAGCCCTCAGCCGGTTCCTCTCCAAGCTAGCCGAGCGCGCTTTACCTTTCTTCAAGGTATTGCGGAAGGTTAATGGATTCGTCTGGGACGAAG